AGCCAGCCTTTGTCTACTTTTAGTTGCATTGAGCCAGACTTTGGCTACTTTTGGTTGCATTGAGCCAGACTTTGTCTACTTTTAGTTGCATTTAGCCAGCCTTTGCCTACTTTTAGTTGCATTTAGCTAGCCTTTGSCTACTTTTGGTTGCATTTAGCCAGCCTTTGGCTACTTTTGGTTGCATTTAGCCAGACTTTGTCTACTTTTGGTTGCAKTTAGCCWGMCTTTGGCTACTTTTGGTTGCAGTTARCCAGACTTTGTCTACATTTGGTTGCCTTTATCCAGGCTTTGGCTACTTTTGGTTGCCTTTATCCAGGCTTTGTCTACCTTTAGTTGCATTTAGCCAGCCTTTGGCTACTTTTGGTTGCATTTAGCCAGCCTTTGGTTACTTTTGGTTGCATTTAGCCAGGCTTTGTCTACTTTTGGTTGCCTTTATCCAGGCTTTGGCTACTTTTGGTTGCCTTTATCCAGGCTTTGGCTACCTTTAGTTGTATTTAGCCAGCCTTTGGCTACTTTTGGTTGCATTTAGCCAGGCTTTGTCTGCTTTTAACTGTATTTAGTTAACCAGTTTCCAATTATTTTAGCTTCTTCAAATGTCAGCTGTCATTTAGCTATCACACTGCTTAATGTTTTGTTGTAGAAAATTCAAAAGTTTACCTTCAACTCTTTACTCAAATCAGAATGTTCATAACTTCAGCTCCAAACTTTACTATCATGAAGGTGAGCTTTTTCCACAAATGAAAATTTTATTTGGACAAAGGTTGGAGGGAGAGCTTCACCTGAAAACAACTCTCCTCTTCTGTGGTCAACAACAAATTGTCACAAAGAATCAGATTTTTATAAAAACAGCACGAGTAAAACAGTCCATGTGCACAAAATGTCTCAGAGCAAAGAAAATGACAAAAAAAAAACTAATTTGAAAAAAGGACAAAACTTCCTGTTTGTGTTTTTGTTCTTGAAGGGTTAAACTCTGTAAGTTAACAGGAAGCAGGGTTTTACCATCACACACAAACACACACACACACACACACACACACACAGTTAAACACACACACCTGAGAACTCATTGCTTGCTCATGAGTTTCTGGATCTGTGAGACAGAGCCAGACCAGTTGTGAATGAGCAGAGGGAGAGAGGAGAGCCAGATTCATCAGCGTCAGGATATATTTACACAGATCCTCCCAGTCTGACAGCAATTATCTCCTGATTTACACACACAGCAGCTGATCACACACTCAGACACACATCAGGCCCGTTGTCCCGACACCGGCCAGAGTTTCTGCTCTCTGTCCAAACAGAGTCCCTCTGTGCGAAGAGATCTGGATCAGGGAGGGAAATTCATCAGTCTGAAGGTTTCCTTTAAATACGCTGGAGCTGAGTCACCAGAAACCTCCAGAGGCTTTTATTCTGAAAATCTATCAAATATATGGCAGAAAACCAGAACATTTCACCTGATAACCGTTTCTTCCGACACTGTTTTCCTGTTGGCGACATTTATTACCTCTGAAAACAGCTGCAACATCTGCTCAACATTCACACACACAGACACGTGCACAAACACACACAGTCCCTCAGTGTGAATGAAGCATCACTATGAACATTTAGCAGACAGAGAGACCTGTGATGAGTCACCGTCTGCCTGCAGCACGAGAGAGAGAGAGAGAGAGAGAGCTGACTTAGACAACAGCCGATTTAAACGACAACAAACAGCCGATTTATACGACAACAAACAGCCGATTTATACGACAACAAACAACCGATTTATACGACAACAAACAACCAATTTATACGACAACAAACAACCAATTTATACGACAACAAACAACCAATTTATACGACAACAAACAACCGATTTAAACGACAACAAACAACCGATTTAAACGACAAC